ACTGGCTCAAAGTATTAACTACAACCAATTTGACGCATCGACAACAATACCCGAAACACGTGACACTATTTTTACTAAGACACTTTTATTTCTTCATTGGACTCGAACATACGCAACGAGCGAGGCACTTGGATGTAACAATAATATCCCTAATTGTGCCTAGCCTAGGTAAAGTGTGTAAATGACGGATCGAAAATTCACTAGTAAATTCGTGACTGTGCAGAGTAAAGCACCTTAGTGTTAAGTGACCATTGACTAATAAACGCCATATAAAAATTTATCTCATACTAAAAGTTTAGTTAGGAAACATTACTAAATGACGATAAATCAACGAACTTTCAAGAAAAGTTAACTGTATTTGTAGTTATTAATACATCAAAGAGAATTTCATTTTACTAGTCTAACACTAGTACAACTTGTAGTGATGAAAAGTATAGTCATTATAATATTGACTCGCAACACGAAGTCGTTATTGCTTTGCAATCACATTTTCATTAATCATCTAAAATCATTAATCACAACTGTAGAAAAAGTAATATTATACTTTGGTACGGACAACAAAGCTTTGTCCAAGACGATCAAAGTTCTCTTATCCATTTCAAACCTTCAAGTATTGGATGAGAAGTTCAGAATAATCAGAACATACGAACAACAAAATCTATATTATAAACATAATCACATCATCTCGCATTTTTTCATGTGTAAACTGATACATTTGGTAATAAGTTCCTATTTATAAAATATTTACATTATATAAAACAAAACTCTAAGATAAAGTGCAATTAATTCTATGAATATAACAGTGACTGACTAAGGTCACTAAAAGATACTTTTGTAAATACTTAAACATTACATTGTTGCACTAGATATATTCAAATACATTGAAAATGTTCTATACATACCGTTTCTTTCCGTGTAGTGATCAATATTGGACATGGTCCTTCGAGCAGGATAGCCAACTCCGATATAATATATATAACATCAACCGGTAGCACAAAATCACAGAGTTCTCATTTATGTACACAATATTACGCCATCCTACGTTTAAATCCATAGTTAAAGTTCAGATTACAAAATAAAAGGTTTTGTTTTGTTCTGTAATCTGTGTGTTAAAGATTATTCATTGGAAGATTGTTGTAAAAAAGGTGATGTAACTATTAGTATTCTAGAGTCAATAAAAGTTTTACCCACATTTTATTAGTATTTATGAGTTAACTTAGCGGGTAAGTTATTAAACGAAAAACATTTCGTCTATCATTGGCTTCATTGGTGGGTTTGGTATTTACAGAGAGAGGGCATTATTTGTCTATAAGACTAGTATAGGAATTCATAGCCAGTTTAATCGATGTTAACCTTCAATTTCATTTTGCCAAACACATATCTTTCAATGCTCTTTTGGAATCATTAGGGCGGAATATTTATTATTAATTCCTACAACCGTTTTCTACAATATTTGTCTTAAGGTAATTTACAAACACAACGACAATTCAGTAATCAGAAGCATTGAAAATTCTATAGCAGAAAACTTTTGTAGAAATCCAATTCCGACCTAACACAACAATCATTTCTCGGGCATAAGTTAAATAGTGAAGTGAATTGACCTTCGTTGCAACATATTTGTGTAGCACAAGTGGTAGTTACAGCGCGAGAACACCCCTACTCGAGCCCGTATTACTCAATCGCGTCCGTAGAATAATAATTATTTATATAGAAGGAATGCTAAAAAAAGCAACCAATTGCATTCGGTCCGTACTACTTCCACCAATGCGTCCGACAACGTATTGGAAAGAGATAGATACAGCACTTTCCTTTAGTCATTTCAAAGTGTGGACAGTGATGTTGTACAAATTGTCTCTATAACTGAGCTTTGATTAAAACAGTACCTGTTCAAATAAAACAAGCTTCAACGGTATAGATGCACTGATTTATTTATTTATGAACGACTGAAAAGGCGAAACGTCATGAATAAATAAATCAGTGCATCTATACCGTTGAAACTTGTTTTATTTAATGAGTGGCGTGCGTGAAAACCTAAGAAACAAATATGTAGTACTGGTTTATCGCGTTTTTATTTTAGATTTCCTTCTATATAAAGCGTAAAACGATGTTTGGAGGTGTGTCACAGGCCAACGCAGAACTGCTGCTTAAGCTTGGCGGATGCTCTTATCCGCGGTCTTTAGTGGGGATCTCTTACTACAACGAGAGCGTAGGCAGCGGCGCAAGCGCCAATTTCGGGCGCTAGGTGGGTGTTGGCGTTGATGGCGCGATCGGGATTCGAATTCCGGCATGCCGCCTCAATAGTTCCGTCACAGTGATGGCCACTTGAACTGTCCCTTTGCCTTCCAGTACATCCGCCGCACAACACATTAGCTTCTGTCAAGAAAGAAAGAAATGTGAATTAAGTGTCGCCGCACACGGGCCACACGCCACAGCCACAAACGCCGCCACGAGAAGCTAGAAGCGGCTACTAAGGTAAGGGAGAAAGGGGTGGGGAATCGCGCGAGTGACGTGAGGCGGCGTTTTGTATCGGCGCATTATGTGGCCGGTGCGGGCCACAAGAAGCGAACAACGACGAATGGTAGCGTGTGGCGGCCACCGGCGTACCGTGTGTGGTGAGTACATATAAAATGTATGAAAACTACAAGAAATATGCCGGTGGCGACGGTTTGTGGTTGTGATCGGTGGCCCTTGTGCGTCGACACTAAAGTAAAAAATTTACATTTATTATTCTTTAATTGTATTTATTTCTTGAATTAAATTAAATTTATCTAAAATTATTCTTTATCAAGCATTGGCTCTTGTTCTAGACTATTCATTTCGCATTTTCCCCTTTAATACTATAATGTTAGATAACATTATCTATATATTATCTTTCAACGATATTTAATCTCATTTCTTTGCATACTTAGTGGCAAAGAAATGAGATTAAATATCGTTGAAAATTTGTAGAGGGTCGATGATATTTTACTAATTCATTGGTCGAAAACGACGTCTCTATAAAAAATAAGAGGGAGAAATATAAACAGCCGAAGTTGCCAGTTCTTAAAAAAACCAGGAACTCCATCGTATTCGCGCTCCTGAAGCTCTCAGATGTTTTTGTAATAATTAAAAGGAGTTAAGGCGCAATTACACATGTCCGTTAGTTCGTATACGGGTGCACGAAAAACATTACGCGATTTCGACCCTGCGTTCTATTTGCAGCGCACCTCGGAGATGCCAGATTGGGGAGAAAAATGGGGATTTGGGAACCAAAACGAAAACGGGTGTACTCAACTCCGTTCATTTACACTAAGTCGTTTGTCCGAATCCCATAGGCACTCGTATTCGGGCTAACGATTTAGGCGCAATTTTACCCCGTATTCGGGTGCACAAGACATTACTCGATTTCGGGAGCCCGATGCAATAATTACATTATTATACTAACGTTCGGGTACTGGAATACGGGCAAACGACCCTAAGCCGGCGTTCTAGTTTGAGCGTATCTCAGTGATGCCAAATAGGGGGAACCAAAAAGGGAAATTTAATGATTTTATAGAAAAATGATAAATTATTTGTTCTCTCAGAATAGAAAAATCGCTGTAAATTTTTCATACTGTTAAATAGCCTATTCCATAAGCAATCGTATTTTGGCTAACGGCCATGTGTAATTGCGCCTTTACAGTGGCGGGTTCAAATCACGTTTTTTATATAGGTGCCTCCATTAATTAAATCTTTTAATATTTATATTTCTTAACTGTACACAAAAAGGGTTACGGTCCAAACAATTTATTAAACCCATAATGATACGGTGGGTCAAATAAAACAATTTCCTATCAGTTAGAAATTTATTTTAAGTAGAGAAAATGTTGTAAGTACATACAAAAGAAGTAAAACCTCTAAGCTATCAATAATAAAATGAAAACTTACTAAAAATAAAACGTAATTAAAAAAAACATGACTAAGAAGGATACCGTAATCAGTAATACCAAATTGATATAGTGAAAACTTAATACTGTGAAAATGCATGAAAAACCTAAATACATTATATAAGAAAAACTTGCTTAAACATATTAAATACATTGTCTGCTTAAAATTATCGTTCCTTCCAGAAAGTAAAAAAAAGAATGACATCATATAATCATACTAATTAAAGTAGTTAACCAATGCTCATTAATAAAGCAAAAGATAGAATTTTAGAACTTCTCTTTAAAAGGGAAGCTAACATAAATTTATCCTTTCATAAACTACACAAATAAGTACCCAAGCACCACGACCTAATAAATATTATAAGCTTTAAATGTATATATTAATATTCTATAATCTTATTTACGTTCATTATATTATTAGCATTGTACTTATAAGTTTAAAGCTCAAAATAATGTTATGTTAAAGAAGCGTAGAAAATAAGAATACACAAAAAATGACCAGATCAAGAATAGAATAAAAAGACAATAGTAATAAAAAATGGAAATGAAATGCATCTGTGCCTGTCACTCACATATGGAGAGGCGATAGATTTTGAATATTACGACAAATACTTTTAAATGAAAGATCTTTTGGTGACTGCAAGTTAGTTAAAAAAATCGCCATGAAAACTAATGTACAGGTAGCGGCACACTTCTTGAAACAAATAAATTGGCGCCAATAGACTTTTATGTATGTAAAATTGCTACTTGTCTTCCTTGTCTGTGGTGGTTGCTCAAAAAGTTAGCCGGAGTGTATACAAGATGTTTACACAGAACAAATGTATGTGTTATTACTAAGCTAAAATCCTCATTATTTTTCATGAGTAAGAAAAAGCATCAGATCATTGTTAAAAACATCTCAGTCATACACTTAAATAATAATTGTAATTTGACTCTTACGAAGTCTTTATACAATTTGTAAGTCGTAAAGATTAGATGTTAATGAAAAAAGCACTTAATCACATTATATCATATAGAGTGGCTATAAAACGTATAATTTACAGTCTTCAATATATTTAACATCTTTGGAATGATAATAAAATCGTAAAACAGTTATCTTAGTAATTATTAGTACAAAACTCTTTAATAGTGATTGTGTTAACACAAACTTTTATTCACTATTATAAATTGTCGTTGACATCATAATGGATTTCCAATCTGCACTTATATTGTAATACTGATAAAATGTCTTTTAATTAAAGTTTTATAATATTTTCTTGTGAAATAAAGCCTCATCAAACAGTCTAATAATGTCTGCAAGTTAGCTTTTGGAGTCATAGAAAATAAATGACAGCACCTTTAAATTCCATAATGTCAAATTGTAGCCAAATGAAAGGTGCGGATAAAAATTGCATCCTTGATTGACGTAAAAATTTACACAGACCATACATTTGATAATGGGGATCATTACTAGGTCAGCTAATCAACTCAAAATCAACAGTATAATGATCTGATAAGCTTTTTAATAAAAATACTTTTTAAATCATCGAATTCGAATTATTACATATTTTTTTATGGTAGCCAATATTCGGCCGCCGCTGAAACGTGTGACGACACAGAGCTCGATTGTGGTTCACTCCGGTCGAACTACAGTTGCGTCTCTACGCACTAGAGCTCTGTGACGTCACAGCCATCACGCGGCCAGCCGAAAATTCGTTTAGTAATTTGGTCATAATATCGTCAATATTTGGCGTAGAAAAAAAAATTAACCACTGTATTTTATGGAATCCTTAGTTCTATAAATCTGCATTCTAACTAAAATCGTTACGGACGAAAACCTTTTTTCTATTTTCAATTATTGTTCCAGAAATCCAGTGTTAAGTCTTGAAAGATTTTTATTACGATTGGCAAACGACCAGGCTTCTTTATTGTCTTAGGAACTCAAATGTTATATGTGTTGTACTAGCAAACCTGATACTTGATTAAAGAAAAGGTACTGTCAAATAAAACGTGGCGTTCTGTAGCAGCAGTAGCTTTCGACGTAGCACAAAATAACATAAAAACAAACTACCTTACATAAAACCATAGACTCTAAATCTGCGTTTATTCTAACTACGAAACACAAAAAATCCCGCCAAAAATAGAAAAAATAACCCGTTAATAAAAAATGTAGATAATATTATTTAAGAAAACATCGACATAGCTAACTTATAATTCCGCATTCATTAGTATACAATAACGATATGAAGTTGCGTTTTTAAGGCATACAATTCTTATCATATAAGAAATATTTAGACAATTACGTTTAAATGGCTAAGCTACCAATATTCCATTATTATTAATTTTAAAATAACATATAATCACTATAATGCACCTCAGTTAAACCACTTTCATTGTACCATTTTATATGGAATTGTGTGACTATTCCTGTATTGCATTGTACCTATTAAGTATAGCATCATTTCTGGTTGTACATTTTATTCGATTGCCCAAGCTATATACTTTTTCGAATATATTATATTTGTTAAATAACTATCAAAAGACGTGATAAATTGGTTCGAAAATACTACATGCGTTAATTTACACACTCATGTTAATTTTATTACATTTTACACGAAAACCTAAAATAAATGATAAAATATGCTTTAAAAAAATGCATCACACATAAAAAAACACATGACAATTATAAAATAGAAAAACAAACACAACAAACAATGAGATCTCAGGAATATATAAGATCAACACTAAAAAACTACATAGATTATATAAAGTAAAAAATGGCAAACCAAATTTTAAATGCCTTTTGGGAATGAAATTCGATATGTCTATATAGGCAATTATCCATTCACCTGGTTCCAATATTTTGAATTAAATTTGTAAGTAGTGAAGCATAAATTCAATTCCATTAAATACACAAAAAAATAAAGCTTCTATTAAAAATACATTAACATGTATTCACAAAAAACAGTAAATCCAAAGATCGTAATAGTCTTTAAGAGCCTGACTGCACTTACTATATATAAATGCCTCATGGGAATGAAGTTCAATAAATCTATCTTCAATAATAATCACCCGATTTTCAGACAATCATCTCGATTTAACTAACACTTCACCAATTCCATGGATCTCATATCCGATATCCTATCGATACCTAATCATAAAAAAATAAAAAAGGTTACTAACCAATTCGAATTTTAAAATTTGATTCGCTATTCAATTCGCTATAATTATATTTTATATTAAAAAAGTACAGAAATATTCGGAAATAAATAATAACCTTGAGATTTTTCCCAAAAAATTTTGGATATACTCATCACCGGTTTATAAATTGTTTATATAATTTCGAGCTCATTAACATGGGATAAGAGAAAGCGAAATAAAAGTAAAATAAACGGAGATAAAGAATGCACGACCGGAATGACTTTTTTCAACAATTGCAATGTCTTTTCCGAATATTTTCATTGTCTTTTGCCAAAAAATACAAATGGAATGAATTTTCCACAACATACTAACCAAACACCTAATTGGAATTAAAAAAAAAACACCTTAGCCACTAAAACACTGGGTGCTTCCAATTACATGTAATGTGCCCTAATTAAACGTTTATACCTTTTGCACTACACTAACATTACTACAAAGTACCAATTCCAAAAATCACATTATCTAGCCTCAATGAATTATATCGAATACCGATCGGTTTCACATCAGACTTCACCACTCATAGACCAGACTTAAGCAGCGTCTAGTAAGAGTTCTAAAAGCATAAGAAATACTATTTTCTTCCGGTTTTTTGGGTTCCTGGGGACCCTTTTACTAGCCTCCACTGTTTATCAGTCTTACTAACAAATAATTGAGAAGCTGGCGAACAAAATGGTATATTTACGCATCCGGTCAAACTACTATTTTTTTTACAGTCCGGAAGTATCGGGCCATATATCGGGCATAATTTTCAATCAAAACCGCCTGACACCGTGTTGAAATTACTAAATTTATAAATTAAAAACCATGCTAAAACCTCACTGGAGGTATGTCATTCAGTTTTATACAGCTCCTGTAAGTGTTTAATTTTACCACTTTGTTCGCCAGCTCCTCAATTAAAACAAATATTTTATACAATTTAATGTCCCCATTCCAAAAACGGTTATTGGTATTTTTGTTGGATTTAAATAATGGCAGCACATATGTCGTCATACATAACACAGCAGCGCCTCTAGCGGAAACTACAGCTTACCTGTGAAAATGAGGACTAAAAACGACGACAACAGTTCAACAGTTCTTGAAAACTACCAAAAGTCAAACTAAACACAGAGGCAGCATTAAATTCTTTCAGACTATCGTCACAGTCTTACTGTGCTTTCATAAGGCAATAGCTGCACATCGTTGCATTAACTTGCTCTGCAAATGTGTCACTTATCTTGTTGTAATAAGATATATGGAAAGAGGTCGGAAGATCAAGGACAACGTTTCAGCTACTAATTTAAACACTTTATTTTTACGAGTCTAATTGTAATACATTCCAATTAAATTCTGGTAACTAGATTCTTTCAACCCCTTTCCTTCGTATTTGTTATCAATTACATTATAACGTGCTTCTAACTGTTACATTTATCTTTTAGATAAATAATTTTACATATACTGGCACTTTATTTACGTGCATTATTAAAACTTCAAAGCTTAATAAATTTAGTTGCCACATCAAAAAGGAATCGAAATGATCACCAAATCATTTACTTGGTTAGGATTAGGAATCTCGTTCAATATTATCACCATTATTATATTTCGACAATAGTCGATAAGTTAAAAACTGTTTCAATATTAAATCAAATATTTGGAAAGAGTATAAAATCTTTTAGTTGTTGGCTTGTTTCTGATAATCGTTATTACAATTACAGAGGGTATATAATCAATAAAATTGTGGATATAAAGAATGTGCCGAGGCACAGGCAAGTAAAAAGCAGTCTGTTGTCTTGTTCCATCGTCGCTTTCTCAGTCTCCGCTTTAAGATCCCTGTTATGATTGTTATGTATATCGAGATTCATCTTCGCCCTGTCATACCTTTCAACGTCCACTTCCCCAGCGGTTTCAATCGGAAAGTCCACTTCGTCCGTATCGTATATCTCGAAGTTGTCATTCCTCAGAACCGGATCCGTGTAAAAAGGTTGGACGAATTGAACTTTATTCGTTTGATAATAAGGACCACGGCTTCTGATTCCATCATTGTAAACAGGCGAATAGTGCCCCGCAGATTCAACATTGTTGTTTTCAAAATTTAGTTCTTCCGATTCGTCTATAGTATAGCTGGCTGGGTCCAAGTATCTCTCTTCGGAATAACGCCTCAATTGTTCCCTGTAGTAGTTCACTTCTACGACGTCATCACTCGCGTATTCGATATCGCACCGGTTCGAAAGGTCGTAAGAGTCAGGCCGGATATTCGCGTGCTTCGGGGGAGTGGCGTGTGCGAGGAGTGCGGACAGAGTGCGAGCGAGAGGTCCGACCCGCTGCATCTCCATTACGTCCTCGGCGGAACAGATGACCTCCTGCAACACACGCCACCCGTCTCTATATAGTTTATTTCTATACAATCTTTTAGGCACGCGAAATATCGGGCGTGACCCTGCAATAAACGAACAGTCATACGAAACATATATAAAGTTAGTTAGTTAATAGTTTCGAGTTCGCGTAATTAATAGAACGAAGATACGAACACATAGAGTATGTTAATTCTATAAGAAATGGTCACCCTTTATTATAAATGAAAAAATAAGTTTTTGATAATGAAACACAAAATAAATTAACACAATTTAAAAAAGGAATGAACAAAGGTTGGGCTATTTACCTCTTCGACTCCTATTTTCCGGCACGCCTCCAAGAAGTTGTCTACGTTTCTTCTGCATCTTGCCATCGTGAGTTTTGGCTGTAAAAGAAGGAAATTATTGTAATAAGATATATTTGTTTTTCAATAAATAAAATCAGTGCATCTATACCGTTGAAACTTGATTTATTTTATTATATGTAATAAGGTATGTCAAAAGTTACATAAAGATGGTTCAATTTATAAACAAGATTTTCTTTCCCTTGGACAAGGAAATACTTAAAAGAAATTCATTTGAGCGAAATAAAACAGTATCTTCCGAAGGTATATGACTTGCTTTGATCCCGCTGCAACTAAGGTCACGTTCTTTCATGGATAGTAAAATTTGACTATACTTAAATCCTATAGAGAAAAATTTGTAATTTTTTTACACATTTACTGATGTGTTCGACGTGGCATGGTAATTATAGCCAAATATTACTGTCGATGAAACAACGAAACCCAAGCCGTAAGCATGGCCTAATCTCCACTACAATTTCGTCACGGCGACGGAGGAGCTCAAGATTATAATTTTTTTGGCACTCAACCACTGAACGATCATTGTGAAAATTCCACAATCGTAGACTTAAATAACAGTGGAAAAAAATGCGGCCTAAAATCATTATCTTCATAAAAAAAATGTATATTATAGTATTAGTGAGTATCCAAAAATGAGAAATAAAAACATAAGTCCTATTTATATAGAAGTACCTCTAAATTGGTAACTAACTTGTTTATAAATACGACAGCAGTAGGCCCTACAGAACACGTATATAAGGCAAGGTTCATACAATACTTAACGTAAATTGGATATGCTAGTGATATTAAATACATTGTTAAAACTGTACTTTAGCGGTCCAAGAGTTAGAATTAGAAGTTTGTGAACTTCTAATTCTAACTCCTGGACCGCTCTTGTTTTGGTTAAATAGGAAAACTTAATAAAGAAACTATGCAAAGTCTCCACACAAGAAAACGTTTTATTAAAACGAAATTTTACTTTAGTGTTACGATCGCGAGCCGAGCGAGCAAAGCTAGCGTACTGCGGTAACGGTCCGCGAAAAGCCGGAAAAAGTTGTAGAAACCGTAAAATTATATACTCCTATTTAATTTATGCAGTTAATGTATATCAGCAGGCCACATCATAACGTGTACGGTTCAAAGGCCGCGGCTGTATAGAGGGTGGTGTGGCGGGAAGGACTCCACAGGTTTGGTACCGTAATTTCGTCATAGTGCCTATCGCTCCAGTGGCGCAATTGGTTAGCGCACGGTACTTATAAGACAGTGTTCGTGAGCAATGCCGGGGTTGTGAGTTCGAGCCTCACCTGGAGCATATTTTTTATACGTTCTATTTATTAAACATTCAATTATTTGTATTGCTGTATGAGCTTGCTTGCTGTGTTATTTGAAAATAATACCGCAATGCCTTTGCAACATTATTTTACTTGTCAATTTAAACAGGAATACAATTATAGTGTCTAAATTTTTTATACTTTGTTAAATTTTGAAATTATTATATAATTTTGCAATAGCAGACTTATTAAGTCTGTAAGTGATTGAGGCTTATAAATATAATTAACGAAGCAACGGTTTTTTTTTCAATGAATATCGTTATCTTATATAATGTTTCTAGTATTATCAAATGTCCTTCAACTCTTATATGATCATATTCGTAACCCGAGTAGTAAACACTGCCAATTCATTTCTATATTCTAATTTATTTTTGTTCCGTCTTGTTACCGTTATACACATAAATAGGTACCCTATAATATTTGCATTCTCTTCTAGACTTTCCAAATAAAATTGTCATTTAAATACACTTCTGGACACATCTATTGGCCCACCTTGTATTTTCAGTTTCGTTTGGTCCTAGCTAAAATTTTATATTAGGTCGAGCAAAAAGTTTTTATGCAGTTTTGAACCTGGCACATTCACAATTTCAATCAATAGTCTTTTTTTGAATTTCGAACACAGAATTTTAAGAAACAAAATATAATTTGGAGCCTGTTTGTTGATATCAAACAATCGAATACTAAGAAAACTTGGTTTTATTGATTTACTTGGATTTAATTCTAGAAAAAGTGATTAATATCTTTGGTTTTGCAGCAAACATTACTTATTCTTAACATTAAGGTGAGTCTCTATCAATAATCTATGGATACTTCACCTGAAGTCGCCGCCCAAGCTGTGGCACTTATTCAGGCCGGACACAGCCATAGAAACGTGAGTGCTCAACTTAATTTAAGTCGATCTGCGGTCCGAAATGTTTATCGGAGGTACCTAGAGACTGGCGGCTTTGTTCGTCGCCAAGGAAGGCCACGATCTCGGGTCACAACTGAAAGGCAGGATCGATTCATCGTGACGACCAGCTTGAGAAATCGTCACTTTACCTCCATTGAGATACAAAAACAAATTCGCGACTTCCACGGAGTATCTGTGAGCGCTCGAACTGTTCGGAGAAGGTTAAAAGAACGCGATATGGTACCACACAAGCCAGCTAATGGGCCCAAACTAACGCGAGCCCACCGCACAGCGCGCCTTCATTTCGCACGCAATCATTTAATAATAATAATTTATTTATTTCAGGCAAAAGACCCATATGACAAAATTGATAATAAAAATAAAAAATAAAACTGTGTATATTATAAAATTACTTAAAAAACAACATAGGATTTGCTGAATGTTTATTTCAGACTGTCATTTCCAAAACGATGTAATTTATTCCAATGTTTAAAAAAGACATTGTCCACGTCATCGTGGATGTTGCGGAGAATGGAGTTCCCACTTTCACGGATCCTCTCCCAGAACGAAGCGGACCGCGATCTGAGGATACAGAAAAAATCGGGAACATTTGCTTCAGCAATTTAAATTGGACACAGCAAGATTGGAGCTGTGTACTCTTTTCTGATGAGTCTAAAATTGTGTTACATGGCAATGATGGAAGGAAGAAGGTCTACCAACGTAAGGGAGAGCGTTTCGCACAATGCTGCTTTGAAGAGAGGGTTGCTTATGGCGGTGGCTCATGGACTGTCTGGGGCGGTATATCCGCGAGCGAAAAAACTCAACTTGAGGTTGTTACAGGACCACGGCTGCCAACATTAAATGCTGAAAGGTACATTCGTGAGTGCTTAGAACCTCACGTGATACCATACGCGGACTATGTGGGCCCAAATTTCCTTTTTATGCATGATAATGCAAGAGCCCATGCGGCCGGCATCGTCAGGGAATATCTTCGGGATGTGAACATCACAGTTATGGACTGGCCAGCCAGAAGCACAGACATGAACCCCATTGATCACATGTGGGACGAGCTAAAAAGACGTGTTAGGGCTCGTCAGCCAGTTGCCCAGACGATGCAGGAGTTGAAAACTGCCATAGAAGAGGAATGGGAGATGATCCCTCAAAATTTCATAGCGCGGTTGATAAACTCTATGCCTAATCGTATGAGAGCTGTGGTAGATGCCCATGGAGGCAACACGCGTTATTAAATTAAACCTTTATTTGATAAAACATGTTTTTTATTTAAAAATCAATTGCCTTTAACAAGGCGCATATCCGACTTGTTAGGCGTAGCTCCCAGTCGTACGGTATTCTGAATTCAAATTTAAAACAATACGATCGAAAAAGAGTGATGTATCAGGTTTAAAACTGCATCAACAGTTTTTGTTCAATCTAGCAATCATATTTCGGTAGGGGCCATCGAAACCTAAACTCTAAGGTGGGCCAATAGATGTGTCCAGAAGAGTACCTAGCGATTTTGGAAAAATAAATAGTTATGTTTATAAGGTAATATATAAGATTGCATTTTTGGAAACAACCCGGTAGATCGAACACGTAGACTCAAGTAAAGACCTAATAGCTTTTCTACCGCGGTGTTACCCATTGAACTGAGGAACGGAGGGGAGTACCTGTGCGGGCGAGGGCACATGCACGGAGGGAGGCCGCACGTGGTTGGCCAGGTGGCAAAGCACTACGCCGTCGCCGGCCCGGCTGCCAGTACATACGGAGAGGAGTACCTGTGCGGGCGAGGGCACATGCACGGAGGGAGGCCGCACGTGGTTGGCCAGGTAGCAAAGCACTACGCCGTCGCCGGCCCGGCTGCCAGTACATACGGAGAGGAGTACCTGTCCGGGCGAGGGCACATGCACGGAGGGAGGCCGCACGTGGTTGGCCAGGTAGCAAAGCACTACGCCGTCGCCGGCCCGGCTGCCAATACATACGGAGAGGAGAACCTGTGCGGGAGAGGGCACGTGCACAGAGGCGACGGAGCGAGGCCGTACGTGGTTGGCCAGGTGGCACTGCACAACGCCGTCACCGGCCCGGCTGCCACTTCATACGGAGGGGAGTACCTGTGCAGGCGAGGGCACGTGCACGGAGCGAGACCGCGCGTGGTTGGCCAGGTGGCACAGCACCACGCCGTCACCAGCCCGGCTGCCAGTTTATACGGAGGGGAGTACCTGTGCGGGCGAGGGCACGTGCACAGAGGCGACGGAGCGAGGCCGTACGTGGTTGGCCAGGTGGCACAGCACCACGCCGTCCGCTAACACCGGCGCCAGCTGCTCCGGCAGGGACATCTTCAATCGGCTCTCGATTATCTGGAAATATCACACCGGCATAGTCATTACGAGTTCAGGCTCTTATAAAAACTAGCTTTTCCCCGCGGCTTTGCTTCCGTAACATGAGTTTTCCTTTCTTAGTGCACACCAGGGAACACAGAAAGAGGTTAAAAGGGTGATCACAAAACGTTCGTACGGGAACCAATGTCGCCGACTCGCCTCCATTACACTTCACCTAATAGATAATAGCCAATCACACGACGCGACATCCAACAATTGAAACATTTAGCGCTCACACCCGAGAGCAACGTCACAATCAGAACCAAGTTTTGATTAAGTTATGAGAATTTGGTCACACATACGAGTACCTGTTGCGCGCCTGCTCCGTCCACAAGGCCCCTCAAAACTCTTTTTGTACTCTGTGGTGCACACCTACATCATAATAGCAATACGTTTACTAAATATTAAAGCATATTTGAGCTGTGTGTTAATAGATCAGTCAGTCAGTAACGGTTGCCTTTTAAAATTCAATGACGAACGTATCCGTTCCCTTCTCGGTCAAACTAAGCATTGCTACTGATATTTATAAACAGTGCATATTACGATGTCATAATTCAACATATACACAACAGGTTCAAATATTAGTTCTTAAAATGTTTGTTTGCAGTCCGATTTTCAACCTTATCTACATAAGAGTCAGTAACATGCTTAGTGAATTTTGGCGCTACTTGAAAATTTACTTTGGACGTGACTATACAAGTACAATCAATTCATCTGCAAGTGTTTGATAATGACACATTGTGAATCTTTTTGATTTGAATTCAAAGTAATAGGCGAAACAATAAATAAAAACACGAAAAATAGAAGTGTACCGTTAACATCAGCCTATTAATATCTCCACTGATGGGGCTCAGGCCTTCCCTATGCACGGAATAGGGAGAGCTCAACACACCCATGCGGGTTGGAAAAAAACTTACAACTGCAGATACAAGCTAGACTCGACGAGCCTCCCGAAACACGGTCGAGCTCGAGATAACGCATTTATTTTATTAAGCATATTTCGCAATGGTCAGTCATTGGATGGGTGATCTAAAACTTATTATTTCGAGCTCCTCTGTGCTTCGGAAGGCACGTTAAGCCGTTGGTTCTGGCTGCATCTGCAGACGTTAGAACCCACCAATCCACACTGGGCCCGCGTGGTCACGGCCCAATCTCTCTATTCCATCCAGGCCTGTGCCCCAGCAGTGGGCACATTAATATGCTGGTGATGATGATGAATATCAACTCACCACCCTGAGTTGCTGCAGCAGCTCCTCCTCCTCCTTCTGCTTATCAAACTCCCTCTTCATGGTGAAGCTCAGCTTATCAGGCGCCGTTTCCTTGTTCCACGCCATCTTTCCCGTCGGCTTTGGCGGCGCACCTTTCAAATACGACACGCTCGTAGTTAACAACTTGGCGCCATCCCCATTCACCCGGGGTATACTCGACTTCCCCATACTGTTGTACCCTAAACTGTTAGTCGGCGATTTTGTAGGCGAAGTCGGTTTTACATACGCCTCCGCCTGCCCGTTCACGCGATTATAGTCTATATTTCCATTGACGTTAGTGTACATTTTGTTTACATTCCTAGATGGCACTACTTTTTGTACGGGCCGCTTGGTTTCCTCTTTTTCGCTGTTACCGTTTTGGCTTTGAAACCTTCTGGGGGTGGAGTGTAAGAGGGGGGAGTTTGGCACTTGTGAGGTGTTAGGGGATGAGGTAGAAACGCTGGAATTGGAAGATATGGATCGATAGAAACTAGGTGATACATTACTGTAGCCGTTAACTGGGGAGTGGGGAGTGGAGTTTGTGTGGATCGGGCTTTGGTTCTGTGATTGTGGGGACGAATCTAGCTCTGGTGAGGGCTGGTCTGTTCGGGGCCGGTACACGTCTTGCTGTCGCTGCTGTCTTAAGGCTTCTTTGTATTGTCTGTGAAATGGTTTTAGAAAATAATTAGATTTGATGTTCGTATTTTTAAAGGGGCATTAATAACACTTAGAATTTTGTCATCTTTTTACAGGCATTTAAGTTAGGCACGATCGAGCTAAGCTAATTGTATACTGTTAATTTTATACTCAAAAAATGTTTTTTTTTTTCATTTATTTTAAGGAGCACGAGTTTAAACACAACTCTTTCCAAGGAACATTACTGTTGTATTAATTCCAGTTTTTAACTTTTCAAAGGATTAACCAAGCTTTTCATTGAATATAAAAGGTTTTCGGTGTCTATTAAGTTAAATATCATATTATTCAGTTTAACTGTTAGTAAGTAAGTACATACAAAAAAACTAAAATACCTCCCCATCCCGTGAAAACCAAAACCATAACTAAAATATACAATATAAATTCTAAGTGTTATTAGTAATAGTAACATAATAGCGATACAGCAATAAAAGTTAGTGCGGCATGTGCGTGAGTGGTGCGTATGAATGACCATATACCTGTATGTTTGTTGGTGGACTAATTTACTCTTATCGTCGCCATTGGAAATGTTCCCTTCGGGTGATATACGGAGGCTGAAAGGGACAACACCGGGGTTAATAAAAACGACAGACTTTCTCATTAAAGCGAAACGCGATAGACAAAAAGTATGATTGACAACTGTTTTCGATATTTTATTAAAAAGATTATTATTACAAATGACTATAGCGCAAGCCTTGATTGCGTTCGATTCGTTGCACCGCAGCAGGGTACGTGCATCGCGGCAGCTCATTGCTTTATTAGAAGTAAAAAAATCATTATAACCGTGAATTTTGAGTTACCCGAGGTACTAAAAAATCGTGTTAATAACCATAGGGCGAACTAAACAGTAAACGTACTACAAAAATATTAAATTTCATCGTTTATAAAATATCCTAAATCGGCGCAAGTTTGTACATAGCAGACCTTTTATACTTTTGTTATACATCTAAATTAAGTTAAGTATATATGTAAATTCAAAATTGTTAAGGTTTCATAATTTCACTGTTATTGAGTTAACGTGGATATATTTTTCGAAAAATTTAAAGTTTTTTTTTGCGTAAGTATAACCTAACTAAATCGTTGTCTGAATTAGCTGGTAAAGTTTCTCAGATAACTCAAAATTTACGGTGTGTAGGTTAAAATAATAAAAATTATTCTGATCGGAGACAGTGCGAGTAAGTAACAATTGCCGAGTTGGAAAGATGGAATAGCAGATTAGTGGTTAAAGTGAAATAGAATTATTGTAAAAAAATATAAATTTTTCTTAATTTCAATTTCTTAACAGTAAAAAAGTAGTTCTTCAAGATTTGATATTACGAAAAGCGGTTGTCAAACTATATTTTTTCGAGGGTAAATTGATATTATCGTCTCGTGTCTCTCGTCAAGTAATTTCTTAGTTCATTTCGTTTTAGAGAAAGTCTTTATGGAAAATAAAAAGATAAAATAGAATAAAAGATATGGACAGCGGGACTTGATGGTGACGATGACGTATCGGGCTAAAATTTAATTTTTTTTACCTCTGGTTCGGCCAATGCAAAACAAATAAAATAATTAAAAATAAATATGATTCCCAAAATATATATTTTACTCGACTATATTACATCTACTGCACTACCCACATAGTGTTTATTAAATGAGTTCTAATCTAACTAAAGCTATAATACAAAATGAAATTATTAATTTCAAACATGCGTTTCTTTTACCAAACTCAAGATTATTTTCCTTTAATAAACACCTTTAATATAATTTTACACATCAAACAAAATAATAATGTCCAAAACTGTAATTATTTAATATTTCATTAAAACTATGTCCATTGATGCAACATTAAAGCAGTAAACCTTATTACATAAACTGTAGTCATCTTTATTGACTCTGATCTAACATGCTCAATTGCTCATAAACTACTATCATTAAAACTAATTATTTGAACTAGGCAAATATGATTTGCCGATTAAAATATAATATATAAAAGTAAACCAATACGTTTAATATAGTACAGATAAATAATAATAATTTCATCATAATCCCAAAAAGCTCAAAAAACTATGTAAGCAAACCATTCAATTTATTGAAGTCCATTATCCAATGGTATAAACTTTTTAACGAAATTCGTATAAATATCTGTTAAACCAACTTACTTATCTATAGTAATACAAATCTTAAATCACTATAGGCTAAGGTCAGAATTGCTTACCCGGTCAGGATCGGAGTCAAAGGAGCCAGTGGCGTTTCGCTTGAGAGCGACTGAGCCCTTGAGAGAGCGGCTCCGGGGGATAAAGTCGACGGTGTGCTGGGAGTGGATCGACCTGAACCGCCCCCTCCACCCGCCTCGCCTCCCCCTAAACATGGCAAGTTTCAATTATAATATACTATGCTATCTCATATATAAAATTCTCGTGTCACAATGTTTGTAACCATACTCCTCCGAAACGGCTTGATCGATTTTTATAAAATTTTATATGCATATTCATTAGGTCTGAGAATCGGCTAGTATCTATTTTTCATACCCCTAAGTGACAAGGGTTGTCCACCCCTAACATTTATTTTTTTATTTTTTGGACATTTTTTTTCATAATGTGGTATTAAAAAATACGTTAACCCCTAATTTTATGGCGGTACGAAGTTCGCTGGGTCAGCTAGTACACTATATATGTGAACAAAACTATTTTTCCAATGGGTTGAAAAATATCATTTTTAATAAAAAAGGATTCGAAACATCGATCTAGTAAACAATTATTAAAAACGCGTTTTAAACCCTTTGGAACTATTGATTTATTCAATGAGTGGTGTGCGTGAAAACATAAGAAAGAAATATACTATAATTTGTGGTTTAACTGCTTTACTATACGCTTGTTTGCCAAGGCTTGTATGGTCAAATTCAAACACGAATAACTACAGAACAACTCACCCTGAGGACGGCCTGAGCAATACGGATATTTCCTACAGCGTCTTAGATGATGCTGACTTAACCTATGGGAATTATTAACTGTACCATCGCGGCCGTCTTGTGTCACATTTTGATACCGTAGTTAGAGTTGGTCTTTACAATCGTGGGACATTTTAAAACTAAGAGTGAGACTACTTCAATGATTTTTTGAATGTGGTTTTATTGCTTTTTTTTAACCATACATATCTTCTCACAATGTGCTGAACGGGCTAGACAGTGGAAACCACGAAAGACACGTAACCCCATAGTGTATCTATGGGCAAGTACCTATGGAAGAATATCTTTGATTTGGATTTTGCGTCGTTTCGACTCACGAGTGGTTCGACCCGCGGGTCGAATTTTCGATTCTCTTTAACTGGGTCGTTTCGCACTACACTATTGTGGTGATGGTCGAAGCGACCATAGTGCGAAAAATAAAATTAGCTCTCGAATTCATAACAAAGGGTTTCTAATTTAGATTTATGCCTACAGAAAAGTCTAAAAGTGGTATGGGTAGATTTTAAGGTCAGGAATTCAGAATACGCCTATTTATTTTGTGGTTTTACGCCATGTCGCTAGCGAGGACGCTTTCTGCGCTAACAATTTATAAATAGCTTCGTTTCTGTTACAAGTTATCATAACGTCTGCAGTTTTGTACGTTACTTCTTATTTGTTATTACAAACGTCCAACTCAAGCTGTATGAAGCTTCCTTAAAATCTCACGTCCAAAAAGATGGCTGTTTGTATAAGCCTATGTTATCACAACCAAGTAGAGCAAATAAAGACAGGCATTTAGTAGGCGGAAACATATGGTAACGTAATTACAGAAATATCATAGAGGTAAGTTTTTATAGATAAAGATGGGTCTAAATAGTTTGTAAAGAATGTGCGTTACTTATAATGTTTCTGTGGAGGCAGCTGCAAGAGTACTACTGCTCATTAAACAGTTAACTTAATCTAGAGCCCTAGAGAGTCTCTAAAGAGTTATATCAAGTTTCATTTGCAATTCAATCGAGTGTAAACCAACTTATAATTAAAGTTTCGTTGTTAAGCGCTATGATGTACTTACATAAACTTCATAAGTAATTGATGTCGCTATTATTCAGCTGAAATTAAATCACAGTATTCCTGTTCTTACTGGCTTTGGTTTCTTTTACACTTCCGTTAATAATTTTAAGGGAGCAAAATTCTATAAAAAGCGACCAAACGTCTAATGCCAACAGTGTAAAGTCAATCGAACCAAACTTACCATCATTCGACCACCTCTTGTCCACACCGTCTGTGCTATATCCGCTGTCGACAACATGCCTCGGCTTGTGCCTCAAGCAATCGATTGTTGCGTTCCCGGACGTGATCTGATGCGTCGTCGACTGATTTGGTGAGTTATTGATATACGAACTATGCTTAACGTTCCTCCTGGTCTCCTCTACTCTCTTATGAGCCGGCATGTTGTCTTTACTCGCCATGTTTTCTAAGTACTTGAATATGTGCACACGCCCGCGCATGCATATCTGAGAAAGTTATAACATAACGATGATTTAAGTGGTTTAAACAAAACGTGCTCAAACGTAAGTCAAACTGTTCCAGTTTATAATTGTTACAAAACACACAACGCTTTGCTGAAAATACTTACTGTGGTAGGAGGTGAAACTAAAGGGTTGTTATCTAAATTTAGGGTGACGAGAGAGTTCATATTCCGGAGCTCCAATGGCAGTGAAGATATACAATTACAGCTCACGTCCAAGTATTCCAGTCTTAAATACGTAATTTCTGAAAACAAACAAAACGACACGCATTAACATACAATTCACCTTCTTGAAGATTCATATAATTAAGTAGTTGATACTCACGTAAAGGTAAAAGTCCTAACTGATTATTGCTGAGGTCCAATGCCCTTAAACCAGCGCAGTCGCCTAGAGTCATTGGCACTTGTGTCAACCTGTTGTTTGAGGCGTCTAGTTCTGCCAGTGACGTCATCTTGCCGATTTCCTTTGGCAGGGTAGAGAGCATGTTGTCCTGGACTAGTAACACTTGCAATGGCATCTGACATACTTCCCTCGGCAGTTCTGCCAACTGATTTGAACTGTTGACAAAGGGAATGAAAATTATACAACATTGTACTTACAGAAAACTAAGTTAAGATTGTGATAGTATCGAATGCGAATATTGTGCAGTCAATAAAAGCGTCATAAAGGCTTTGCTGCCTTACTTAAAATGATTATGACGATGGTGACCAATCAAAACCTACAATAAAATTATTCTTATAATCGTGAAGCAACTAAAGAAAAATAAACAAAAAAAGTCAAGTAGACTGTATTCTCCAGGGAATAGAACTGATGTTAAATAACACAACGCAGATACTTAGTGGGAACGTCCTAAAATGTAAACAAATGCACGCCGCAATGGCAACATGTTTCAAATTTACAATTTCAAGCTATTTTTAACGAAAACTCACTAAAGGATAGTATTGCATGTAATTAGATCAGCCGGAACATAAATCGTTCGAAGCTTAATCTAATAGCACTTGAGTTTGTGCCAAGAAAAGTTGTAAACATTGATGTTAATATGCTGAGTGTACTGAACTTCCTATATTTGATGCGGTGTAACGTCATGAAAGCTTTCCCACTTGTACATAAATTAACAGATAGCCGGAACCAGGAGCTTAGTTTATTAATTTCGTGTTGGGAATAGCGCAAAGTGAAAAACCTTTTTGGCAACCACCAACGCACTCACTACTTGGTACAAAAGTTAAACAATCAAAATTTAAAAAAGCGTGTCTATAAGGACTACAAGAAATTTAAAATTAACGTTGAATGATAATAGTTTCATAAAAGGCAAATTTCCCGAGTGGCAACTTTTTATTAGGATTCTTTTCATTACGGGCCGTCTAGACATGTAGACATACTTTGAAACTGGATTCAATACTAGACAGAGAATCAATAAATAGACTTGAGGTGAACGGACGTCCGCGTCTAGAAACTCTGAAAGGGCTTAATTACTGAACATATACGCAGTGGTATTCCATTTAAATTTCTCTGCCCAGAAGCAGAGCAATTTACAGATACACGATTAAACGGAAATGTTATTAAGAGATGGCAAAGAATTGCCGATTTGTCGATCGAGTTAGAGCATGTAGGAAAGCAAACTGGACCAAGCAAAAGACCCCGTAAAAATCACTAACTTTGGTGTTGTTTCTGTTGGTGAGTAAGTTTAGACTATACAACATACATTTCATTCTTCAAGTCGGCATGCGGCATGGTAGAGATAGCAGGTCTACATACAATTACTATAGGTAGTCGCGACTTCACAACAGTCTTGACACAGGATGTGGCGAGGTATTTTGCTACGACTTCTATAAAATAATGTCTTTCTTTCTCTATAGAATATTTTCTGTACAAATCGCTTGTAACGCTAACAAATAATGAGCACCGCTAGGTTACACAGATCAGCAGAATTCTAACAGTATGTAACTCTCGATCTGCAAAACCCGTACTTTACCCACATCTGCGTTGCAATTGCAAACATTACTCAATGGGATCACTTGACAAAAACCAGAGCGACCACCACCGTTATCGCTCCACCCGTATAAGGCAACAGTGCAGTCACATGAGAAACAAGACACTATCAACATGCTATATACAAGCTATCATAAACTGCTTAACCTAATTCAAAAACATTATTATTTCCCTTACATTAAGATGATATTGATGTTTAGCTGAAGTGGTGTCTAAATTAGTATTACGTGTTAAAGGAAACAGATGTATAAAGCGTTGATAAAGCTTTTTAACAGTTAAAAAAATAAATGAGTACACGGGTCACAACTCGAGAACAGTACAGAACATTGGTGAAATACTAAGAATCAACAGGCCGTGACAATGCGGAAGACCACGCATAATTTACAAAGCTAAATTATTCATGATGATTATAATATTATTGCAACAATTAACGTAGAAATCTCAAAAAATACTCGCGTTTTATTACGAATACTTTTTTATAACCTTAAACTAACTGCCTTCTGTAAAATACATGGTTTATTTGAATTTCAAATTCATGCATGTAAAATATCACCAGTAAAATTAAAACTACTTTTACTATGGAAGAGGATTGTGTTTATAAGTGGTTGGGTACCCAACTAATTTCCTTTACTCATATTGAAGCAAACAATATGTTATCGATCTTTAGATTCAGATGGTACAAAATATCAGCGAACAATCTAGCTGGCGGTACTTTTCGTTTCCAATTTGAGGTATACCATGATGTCGTCTTTTCAATTTGCGGTGTCGTTGTCAAAGTAACGGTGTATGTAGCCTTGTCATAGAACACACCCACATGCCATGCAAAAGCACAAAGACAACGTTTGCTGAAGGGAGACGTTATTACCAATTTTGTCTCCCTACCTCCAGAGTTTCATCTATATACGTTCAATCTATGTACACAACGACATTGGAAATTTAGTTAGAACATGTGCAGGAATCTATCGTACGAAACCACACTCGATATTATTCATATGTTTTTTAAGGATGAATAAGTAAATGCGGGCTGCATTTAAATATGTGAAACGGTGCTTCTATTTCAAAAACCGACAACCTAACTCGCTTAGGCGCCATGTTAATAATGTATAGGGTTCTCAACCCGAGCCATGTGCAAATAAATTCTAGCTTGAGCATTAAATATTTCCGCGAGAGGGGCAATCTAAATTTAAACTAAGTACGTTTAAACGTGAAACTTTTGAACGAAAATTTCGTTTGTCATGAATTCGTTTATTTGTTAAAGTCGATTTAAATATTAATGAAGATGAGAATAAAACGTCTCTTTCTCGTTACGAGCCTTTACTTTTCAGCAAAAAAAGACCATCTTTCAATGCTAATCATTCAGTAATATTTGTGTGAAAATCGTCAACAATGTTTACTGCCCTAATGCCAACTAACACCATGCATTTCCCATTCTCCCCCTCTCGCAGATCAGTGCTGATTATTTGCTCGTTCCGGATGGGTGGTTCAAGGTCGATGTAATATCGATTCACTTCCTACACGAGGGTCTGGCAGGAAGGAGAACGAGCTATGTTATAGGGGAGCTTTCAGCAAATTAGTTTGCTAATAACGATGTTTGGTGAATTAATTACTACCACACACATGTTAATTTTCTTAGTTCTTAATTTGGCGGAGCGGTCGATGCTATAATAGGTATCATATTTTCTGTCCTGCCCTGCAATGTATCGGGTAACAACTGTGATTTAACTGACATAAACGTAACGGTTTCAATTTTAAGTAACACAGCTAGGAATCCTGTTCGACGAAGATCCTAAGGTTGCACTTTACTCATGTGTAAGTAATTAAGTATTATTTTTGGCTTAGTTAAGATTTTTGACAAATAATCGTCATACCAGCAGCACTCATCTGGTATGTCGTGTTCTTAAATATTTTACCGATTCGTTTAAACGCAAATATGCGAACAACGAATAGCCATGAAAGGGTGCCACACCATTACAATCGACATAGGCACTTATCAAACACAAACGTGTAGATGCAATTTAAAGAAAAAGTCAATAAACTATGTCGATCTCAGCTGCGTGGGTCTACGTGGGTGCACTAGAAACTTGATGTTAAAGTTGTTTTTTAAAAACGGTTTTGTTTACATTCGTCTCCGTGTTTATTGCGAAACAACCTGTTGGCAGTTTGCATAGTAATTGAGCATAATGCTCCTAGGCTAGTATGTAATTATTAGGTTTTATTAGGTTTGGGTCCCGGGACGGCTCGTAACTCGGGTCCCGAGACTTTCAGGTCGATACTCGAGATGAGACAAGATTGTCGATATGATATTGTAATCATTTTTATTTTCAAATAATTTAAAGAGCCTAGCTTTAATCTGTTATATTAATTTACCAATTATTTAGACTGAAATTAAAGTCAAAATTATAAGTATTTCATTTTAGGTTTAATAAAAGAATGTCCTTAACTAGTGGTTGGGAAAAAATAAAATAATTTGAATAAAGAATTTTGACTTTGACATTGAATAAATTTTGTTTTTTACTAAAAATTGCCTTTTTATTAATACGTTTACCCTGTAATTAACTCAATTCAAATTTTATTCTTATAAGTCTCGTGTCCCGGGACTTCGAATTTGTCGGGAACTTTCAAATCCTTGTTATTATGCATACCTACTAGCTTTTTCATTTCGTAAAATATTGATGTTATCAGATAGAATTATCATACTCAAAAGTATGATAGGGTACCCGCGACAAATATAAGAGAATCCGAAAGATAAAATGACCCAATTGCGTTTATACGTTGTTGCTTATTTATTAGTCTAGCTAGCACGATTGTGTTTCGCCATTACGCTAAGTATAGTATTTCTCTATGTGTTTTGGCAATAGCGTCCCATTTTCGAAAGCTCGCACTCATATTCACGTGCACGCGCGAATGGCCATACGTCATGCGGGGTGCGCGCGCGCGCTGAACCGCGATCACAATGCGCGTGCAACCATCCATTCTCGCGTGGTTTTATGTCGGTTATTTACCGATTTCGTGAAAATATACGAGTATTTTGATTGTGCGTTGCGCGTTGATTGTTATTGTTGTGTAATGAATGGTAGGTAACATTCTCGGCACAGCACGGGTCTTAGTGGACTTAGAGCAGTGTGTTTTATGATTTCTTTCCAATTTTACAGATTAATATTTTGGCTTCAATCACAAAATAGATAGCATATTATTTATTTTTACATTGAATGGATAAAAATTGCTATAAAATATAGTTCATTTAAAGGCCACAAGTTGTTAAAGTATCAGGAAGCTGTTATCGAAAATCTTTAATTTACACATACGTTATAAATATATTAAAGTATCGATTTCTGTATTTTTTAAAACTTCATTTGCCTATGAACATAAGTCTCAAAATAAAAACTCCGGAATAATATAATGAAAACAGTAAAATAAAACTTATACCTTTTGGTGGTGTTGTGTTCTCTGGGTTAGAGCTCCACAAGCCACCCTTGTGTAGTAATTGGTGGAAGTAATTTACTGTCTAGGATGATTGGATCAGCACATTTTTCTGACACATAAACTACTTTCGTAACAACATATTCTA